AGAATCCGAATCAGCTTGCAGGTGCCCCAGCCTCAGCCGCAGCAGGTCGTTCTCATGTTCTAGAACAGGCTCCTCAGGTGGTCGCGGGCCCTGGCATCAGGTTGATCTTGCAGCAACAAGTCAACCAGATGACGGGAGGTCCAGCAATCCAGGCGGGCTTGGCCCCGGAGACGGTCATGCGCCGTGCGGCGGCAGCGGCGGCCAAGGGTGCTTCCCGGAAACACGACCAGACCGTCAACGTGGTGGCTAAGTTGAGGCAGCAGTTACAGAACGCAGGGGAGAAGGAACGTCTTGCAACCACCACCTTGGCGGAGGCTGAGTCTGCCAAGGAGACTGCGATGAAAGAGAGCCATGCTGTATCGGAAGGCGCTGGAGGCATAGCAGGTGGCGGCACAGGCGGTGGCAGTGCAGGACAACAGCAGCCAGAGGATACGCTGGACTGTATACCGTTGGACGAGGGTTGCCTCAGCACCATCGACGAGAAGGTGGAGCTCGAGGAGAACGTGCGCACGGAAGTCGAGAAAGTGCACAATGAACTAGTCAAGGTTGATCAGTTGCTGGTCGAGAAATCGATCGACATTCGACAGTGGCTCGATAAGAAAGAGACATGCCCACGAGGCGCCGCAGAAGCGGCTCGACAAGGCGCGGAGGGTGGCCACCGACGGCGCGGCGGGCGCAAGGCGCGGCTGCACGTGGTGGCCCAGGCAAGGGCTCCCTCGAGGGCGCGAAGTTATTCGCGCTTCGCGCTTCGCGGTCCTCGTTCCTTCTCCCCCTCCTCCTCGTTCTCCTATTCTCCCTTTGGGGGGGCGGCGCGAGAGCGCGAAGTTATTCGCGCTTCGCGCTTCGCGGAGCGCGAAGCGCGAAGTTGGGAGCCCTAGTCCCAGGTGCCGCGTCCACTGCTGCGGCAGGCGTTGTCAGTGGCGGCAGCAGCGGCGGCAGCGCCGAGGAGGCCGCCGTCCGAACCAAAGCGGAGCGAATCAGCGCGGCTAGGAGCTGCAGGCGGCCACATGAGTGGCACAGGCGTCGGCGGCGGCAGCGGCAAGGTCGACCGCGCGGCCTGACTGATCGACGCCGAGTGCTGGCACTCGATCGCGTCTACTTCGATGCCATCTTTTGGCGAACCGCCGCCAGCAGCCGGGGGGGGGGCCAGAGGCAGGGAATTCAGCGTCGGCAACTCGGTCGAGTGAGCTTGGAGGAGATTCAGATTCTCCAGGCGCAACTTTTCATTGACACTGCCAGGTTAGGTAAGCAGGCAATGAGTTACGTTATCGGGAAGAGGTCAAGGTATCGTGCTTAGGGCTTTGCCGAGTCTCATGTTGGGGAGTTTTCGATTGAGCAATGGTCCAAGGAAGCTCGCAAGATGTGCCTCCATCTTCTTCTCAACGCGGCAAGACCATCTGGGCGGGAGAGCCCGCTGATGCGAATGCCCGTGCCAACAGGGGCGAGAGGCGCTTTTCATTCAGTCGCGCAGGTGAACTTGTTTGGTTGGCTTGCCTGCCAAGTTTCCCAACGTTGGCGTGTCGTCGTGCCGCGCCTCTTTGATGGGTTCCTTCCAACTCTAGTTCATGTGCAAGGCTGCCCGGTGGCCATGGTGTTTTTTTGGTCGTGATCTTAAGGATTCGCAGGGGGGGCGCCCGTGGGGCACTGCGTCCTCGGAGCGTCTGCCAACGCCTTGATAGTTCCATGGCTTGCTGCCTTAGGGGAACTCGGCATTTCGCACCTGCAGCTCTCGCGGAGTCGGTTCTTCGAACTCACTAGTGGCGTAGTATGCCGAGCTGCTGTTGAGTGCGCTTACCGTCTTGAGTTATCAACGACGTGAGGAGGCGGGGTCCGTCCTCTTCCTCCTCCTCTCCCATCCTCCTCCCTCCTCGTCCTCCTCCAACCTTTCTCCTTATAGAGGAATCCCGCCTGTCGCGCCGCGGGACTTGTTTGTAGGGCGGACCAGGCGTCTCGCTTGAGATTTTTCCCCACTATTTACGATCCTGAAGCTTAATATGTTCAACAGCTGCACGGATGGAGAGAGGGTGGTTGTAGTAATGACAATGACGATGACGATGACGATGACGATGATGATGATGATGATGATGATGATGATGAAGATGATGATGAAGATGATGATGATGATGATGATGACGATGCTGATGATGATGATGCTGTTGATGATTATGATGATGAGGAGGACTGTGATGCTGACGGCGATGACAATGATGTTGATGATGATGATGACGATGATGATGATGATGATGATGATTATGATGATGATGATGATGATGATGATGATGGGATGGTGATGATGACGATGATTATGATGATGATGACGACGATGATGATGATGATGATGGTGATGGTGATGCAGTTGATGATGCTGGTAGTGGTGCTGATGCTGCTGATGATGATGCTGATGCTGAGTCTGCTGACGACGACAATTATGATGATGCTGCTGCTGATGATGCTGATGATGCAGGTGATAATGATGATGGTGATGATGATGGTGATGATAATGGTTATGATGATTCTGGTGGTGGTGATGGTGATGAAGATGATGGTGATGAAGATGGAACTGATGATGATGGTGATGATGCCGATGATGCTGCTGTTGATGATGATGATGATGGTCATGATGATGACGATGATGATGATGATGATGGTCATGATGGTGATGCTGCTGCTGATGATGATACTGATGACATGATGATGCTGATGATGACGATGATGATGAGGATGATGATGACGATGCTGATTATGCTGATGATAATGCTGATGATGATGCTGATGATGATACTGATGATGCTGATGCTGCTGATGCTGATGCTGATGATGATCATGCTGATGATGATGATGCTGATGATGAGGATTGTGATGCTGCTGCTGATTATGCTGATGCTGCTGTTGATGCTGCTGCTGATGACGTGATTGTTGATGATGGAGCTGATGATGATGATGATGATGATGGTGGTGGTGGTGATGATGATGATGTTGATGATGATGAGGAAGAGTGTGATGACGACGATGATAATGATGTTGATGATGATGATGATGGTTGTGGTGGTGTTGAAGATGATGGTGATGATGATGATGCTGGTGATGATGGTGATGATGATGAAGGTGATGATGATGTTGCTGGTGATGCTGGTGATGATGATGAAGATGATGATGATGACGATGATGATGATGGTGATGATGCTGATGATGATGATGATGAGGATGAGGATGATAATGATGATGATGATGATGATGATGATGATGATGATGATGATGATGGTGGTGGTGGTGATGATGATGATGATGATGATGAGGATGAGGATGAGGATGAGGATGATGATGATGATGATGATGATGATGATGATGATGATGATGATGATGATGATGATGATGATGATGATGATGATGGGTGGTGGTGGTGGTGTTGGTGGTGTTGGTGGTGACGATGATGATTGAGGATGCGGAGAATCATGAGGAAGGCTACGGCGAGGATGAGGAGGAAAAGGCGAGGATAGGAAGGCGGAGGAGGAGGAGGATGATGATGAGGAGGAGGAGGAACAGGAACTCCTGCACCCTTGCGGAGACCTACGTGCCTTCTAAGGCCCACCTGTCGCACTTAATGCCTTTGTTCTTCTCCTCGTCATCCTCCCAGAGCACCGTGGAGCCACTCAAACCACCGAGAACACCCTACCTAGACATATCAAAAACCCACATGCCCACCTGCTCCCCGAATCAGTTTGTCTGTAAGGGTCCGTCTTAAAGCACGTGTGAGGTCCTCCGGATTTGGAATCGGCGGCTCGTGGCCCGTGGTCTCAGTTATGGTCTCCCGCGTGGTCTCCCGCGTGGTCTCCCGTATGCTCTCCTGTACGGTCTCCCGTGCGATCTCCCCTACGGTCTCCCGTGCGATCTCCCGCACGGCCTCCCGTGCGCTCACCCGTACGGCCTCGCGTGTGTGCAGGTGCAGCATAACCTACTCTTCATTTGGTAGTTTTGCTGTCTAGGCTCTTCTACCAGGATGTTTCTTTTCTTTCTCCTCCCCTCCTCCTCCCTCCTCCTCCTCCTCCTCCTCCTTTTTCTCCTTCCTCCTCCTTTTTCTCCCTCCTCCTCCTCCTCCTCCTCCTCCTCCTCCCAAAGGGGGAGAGCAGGAATAAGCCTCGCGAGAGGAACTCGGGCACCCCCCGCGTGGCCCCACTGGGGTGGCGGCCCCCGCGCCGCCGGTGCCGCTCTGAGCTCGTGCGAGGCTCCCTCCAATCCCCCCTCTCCTTTTCCCCTCCTCTCTCCTCCCCTTCCTCCTTCCTTTCCCTCCTCCTGCTCTCTCCTTCCTTCCCCTCCTCCTCCTTCCCCTTCCTCGCTCCGTCCTTCCCTCCCCTCCCCCGCTTTCGTCTCCGCCCCTCTTCATTCCGCCCCCCTTCGATTCATCTCTACTCCTCTCTCCTTCCCTCACCACCTTCCTTCGTTTCCTTCCTCCATGCTTTCTTCTCCACTCCGCTTCGGTCCCTTTGCCACCCCCTCCCCTTCCTTCCCTATTTTCCCCTCCCGCCTCCTTCATTCCTTCATTCCCTCCCCCTGGCTCTCTCGTTTTCTCTCTCCTTTGAAATCCTCTTTCCTCCCATTCCCTCCCACCTTGTCCTCCTCCGCGGATTCTCCTCATCAATGTGACCCTGAATTGATGCAGACGGCCCTTCCTCATTCTCCCACCCCTCTTGCCCCTCCTGGTCCTCACCCCTTCCTCCCCTTCCTCCTTCGCCTCTCTCTCCCTTCCCTTCTCCTATTCGACCTTCCATCTCCTCCTCCTTCACTTCCTGCTTCCTCCTCCTCCTCCTCCTTCTCATCAGCATCATCATCATCATCATCCTCATCTTATTCATCCTCATCATTATCCTCATCCTCCTCATCATCATTACCATGATCAGCATCCTCATCATCACCACCATCATCATTAGTCATCAGTCAACAATTATCATTATCAGCCTCATCATCATCATGTCATCAGTATCATCATCATTCTCGTCATCATC